AGAAGAAGAAGAAGAAGAAGAAGAAGAAGAAGAAGAAGAAGAAGAAGCCATGCCCACCAAGTCACATGTCCATGCCCATCTAGCCATGTCCACAGAACCGGTTATTTAAAAAACTGAATCCCACCCCTGTATATAAAGCAGTATAGATATACAGTAGATCTACTGGCCACTTTGCAGGTGGGGGGGGGGAGATACTCTTCCTTGCTCAGGAGCCAAAGTACACCTTTGTTTGACTCCCTTACTCTGGCTTTATATTTGAGAATGCCCGGTATAGCGTATCTCAGCATCAAAGTGATATCCCCCTGGAGCATTTGTAATATTGTCACTTGCAGGTGCTTTGAGTTTGTTCCAAAGCGTTTCTCTAAAGATGCAGTCAAAGGCCTCCTTGAAACCTAGAAACAGCATTGACGCTAAAAAAATATTGGACTAGAATACACACGTGGTTGGAAGAAATGATAAAACAACACATAGACTTAAAACCAGATACATTTTTATTGGGAATTTTGCCTGAAGGTTACAATAAAGAGATATCGTGCTTGATTATCAATGCATTGACAACAGCTAGAATTGTATTTGCACAAAATTGGGAAAATGAGAAAATTCCAATGGAAGAGGAAATAATTAAGAAAATAACGGAATGCGCAGAAATGAGTAGATTGACAATGGCAATTAGAGAACAGGAAGAAAAAGATTATTATAAAATTTGGAATCTATTTTATGAATGGCTAGATAGAAGAGTAAGAAATTGAAATATGTAATAATAGCATAATATAATTGATTGAATTAGTGTGAGTGAAAAATGAATACAATTTAAATAAAGATGAAATATATTCTTGAAAGACAATAATGATAATGTTAATTGATAAATGCAATATAAAATATTGATTAGAATGGCTATAAATATAAACAAGTAAGAAATGTATGATAACATGATTACGAGCACAAGAGATGGGTACCCAACCGACACACTGTAGAATTGAAAAAGGTGGTTTCGTTTGTTTATCTTTGTTACAAAATAAAAAAAAAACTTTTTTAAAAAATCTAGAAACAGGGCGAGGAAAGGCTTTGTTTAAGCGGCTGAGTATATTTCACAGTCGAGACTGAGAATATCAGTTCTGAATCAAGCGTGGAACGATCTGCCTGTTCAGACTACTTTCTCAAACTAATTTTGTAATTCTGTTTCAGAGTTGTCTCTGTCACTGACTGGTCTACAATGGGCTAAGATACCAGGCTGCTGTCTGCAACAGCAGCGGAAGGTGATAATCCACTCCGCATATAAATTAGGACACTGAGTTGTCAGAGCTCTTGATGTAAAATCTGAGATGAATAGAGAGAAACGTTTTTTTGAGGGTGTGGGGGTTTGGGCGTAAATTTTAAACCCAAAATTTAAAAGAGAGGGGGAAAAAAGGAGCCAAATACAGGTGCTTTCATGAGATTTAAGGAAATACCAGATGAAAAAAGCATGCAGTAGCTCACACTTCCATGCTTGTGGTTATTAATGTGTGCAATTTCTTTTAAGGAAGCAATTTATTTCCTTTGCTTATTTTGCAACTGAGAAATAGAGTATTTATACAAACGCTGACCGTAAGCTAAAGCAGATATAAGACTCATCCAAGCCAGATACGGAAAGTCTGTTTTCAGAGCAAGACAGAATTATTTAAGGTAAGATTGTATATATACACAATATCTCAAAAAAAGAACATCAGGGTTACCCCTCCCAGTTCTTCCCCTGAGGTGTCCTCCAAAGTATCAGCACCCCATAATTGGGATCCTATTCCATAGATATGATAGATGAATCATACTTTAGTTAATTAATTGGCTACAAATTTGCATACAATGTTGCTTATAAATTGAATACAAGTGGCTCTGAAGCAAGGTATATACAATATGCTTAATAGCAATCTATTCTTCTCTAGAAAAGAAGAATGAGGTGTCTGTTTAAGATAGTCTTAACAATTTTCAGCTTTTTAAAATACTTGTTAAAGTTTTTAATAATAGGAATAGCAGTTAAGACTTAGAATACTGCTTCAAAGTGCTTTACAGCCGTTTACAAGTTAGCATATTGCTCCCTGAAATCCTGATCCTCATTTCATCCATCTCGGAAGGAAAGTATTATATAACTTCCTACCCAAATTTTAAAATATGGATTCATATTGGAAAACATGCATGATAAGTTAAAATTATAATATTTGCCAACGATATTACCAAAGTATAATGATATGTCAGCCTATAGACTCTCAATATTGTTAATTTCTGTACATTGTATAGTGAAGTGAAATGTGAATGTGAAATGTGAAAATTACAATTTGAAACTGAAAGCAGATTTAGATGTTTTTTACTGAAGCACTATTTTTGATGGTAGCTAGAAAATAAATCATATTATTTCATTAATGCAACATTGTTTGCAAATTATATCCAATATGCACTAATATTTCTTTTTCTGTTGTTCGCTAATTTTACAAAATAAAGTTATAAATGTTCCGTTTACTATGTACTGTGTGTGCTTTGTGCCCATATGTTAAGAATCTGGGAAAAGCAAGCAGAGCACTTTCCCTTCACGTTTTCTTCACTCTTCCCCTTTTGTGGTTTCTTAGCGAAGCACGATCATATTGTTTGGATAGTTAGCATGAAAGCCCAAATCTGAACCTGGAATTACTGTTCTTTCTACTCTTCTTCTCTCTATCTGCAGGAAATACGGACTTTCTCTTCTTAACATTTTCTATAATTATTGGGTAATTGTTTTCCTACCCTTCTTCATCTAATCACCGTCAGATTGATGATGCACTTGCTTTTTATAGAATTCTTTATAGAACAGGAATTCTTTATGGGCCAAGTATGACTGGACACACAAGGAATTTGCATATGCTCTCAGTGTACATAAAGAGAAGAAAAAATAAAATACATTCATCAACAAACGTATGATACAACACGTAGTGATAGTCATAGAATACTAATAAGCAATCAAACCAAACTAGGAAACAAATAAAACAATATAAATTGTGAAGATACAAGCAACGTGGTTATAGTCATAAGTGGGAAGAGGTAGGTAATAGGGAAGATGAGAAGAATAACAGTAATACAGTCTTACTAAGTAGTTGAACAGTGTTGTGGAAATTAGTTGTTTAGCAGGGTGATGGCATGGGGGAAAAACTCCCCTTGTGTCTAGTTGATCTGGTGTGCAGGGCTCTATAGCGTCGTTTTGAGGGTAGGAGTTGAAACCGTTTACGTCTGGGATGTGAGGGGTCTGTAGATATTTTCACAGCCTTCTTTTTGACTTGTGCAGGATCCAGGTCCCCAACTGAAGGCAGGTTGTTTTTTCTGCAGTCCTAATTACTCTCTGGAGTCTGTGTCTGTCTTGTTGGGCAGCAGAACAAAACCAGACAGTTATAGAGGCGCAGATGACAGACTCCATCATTCCTCTGTAGAAGCGAATCAGCAGGTCTTTGGGCAGTTTGAGCTTTCTGACTTAGTACAGAAAGAACATTATTTGTTGTACTTCTTTTGATGTTTTTGGTGTCCATTTTAAGTCTTTAGATATGATAGAACCTGGAAAATTGAAGGACTCTACTGTTGATACTGTGTTGTCTAGTATTGTAAGAGGCGGTTGTATTCCTTTAGGAGGGTTTCTCCTAAAATCTACCACCGTTTTACAATTTTGAGTGTATTTAGTTCAAGATTGTTCTCGTTGCACCACAAGGCTAGCTGTTCAACTTCCCATCTATATGCAGATTCATCGTTGTCTCAAATTAGACCAGAGACTGTTGTATCATCTGCAAACTTCAGTACTTCAACAGAAGGATCATTTGAGATTGCAGTCATTGGTATAGAGGGAGAAGAGGAGAGGGCCCACAGCCTTGGGGGGTGGGGGGGAGGAGCTGTGCTAATTGTACAGGTATGTGATTTTGCCTACCTTCAACCTGGTGCTTCCTGTCTGTTAGGAAGCTTATGAGCCATTTACAAGTGTGGTTGGGTACAGCCAGCTGATTTAGTTTAGTGAGAAGAATATCTGGAATGATGGTATTGAATGCTGAGCTGAAGTCTACAAAGAGGACCCTTGCGTAGGTCTTTGGAGATTCAAGGTGTTGTAGGATGTAATGCAGAGTCATATTAAAGGCATCATCTGTCGATCTGTTTGCTTGGTAGGCAAATTGAAAGGAGTCTAACAGTGGATCTGTGATGGTTTTCAGGTAGACCAGCACCAGCCTTTCAAAGGTCTTCATAACTACAGAATATTAGAGCAACTGGTCTGAAGTCATTCAGTTCCTTGATGAAGAGTTTCTTCAGATTTAGAATGTATATATTTAGTTATAGAAGCAAAAGGAACCTAAAGTTTTATTTCCTTTAAATATACATATTTGCCTGTATAAACCCAGTCTCGGCTCCCCATATTGAATGTGTTGTTATCTGGTCATTGCCCTCAGGGAATGGCCGAACTAATGAGGTGACTCCGTTACATCTGCTATTTTTTTGTTCTTGCTATTTTTATAGTGTTTTTGAGGATTTTCACCTTTTTTAATAATTAAATAATACTGTTGGTTTTATCTATTTGTAAACTGTTTAGCTTTGTTATATTAATCACTTGCTAGTGAAACAGCCAACTACATAAATTGGATAAATAAATAAATAAGTAAATAAATATAATCAATCTAACCAGAATTGGTGTACTCAGGGAAGTGGAAGAGCATGTCACCTATATTAAGTCTCATCAGCCTATATTTTATGGGAAATGAAGTCATCACAAAATGAAACTTGGAATATGTCAGCAGCGTCTATTAAACTGTCAGAGAAATACAGCATTCCACTATTATTTTATTCATTATTAGTTAAGTTAATAAGCCCTTTAAAGCTTTCAGTATGAGGTTACAGCCTTTTCAAAGACCCAGAGTATCCCACATGGATCTTTCCATCGACATAATGGAGGCTTTCAAGATGGAAACTCCTCTGCTGGACTGGTTGCTTTCGTGGTGTGGAGACCATAACTTGGTCCTCAACTCTAATAAGACCTAGGAGCTGATAGTGGACTATATAGAAGGAATAGATCAGACCTCCAGCCTTGCTTATCGAGGGAGACCGAGGGGAGCAAGTGGCCGGTTTTAAGTTTCTGGGTGTTACCCTAAAAGAGGACCTGACCTGGGGGGCTCATATTGCAGCCCTGGTCAAAAGGGCCCAGCAGAGATTCTACTACCTGAGGCTTCTCAGGAAACAACAACCGAATGGAAAACTGCTGGGGACCTTCTACCGCTGCACCACAGAGAGTATCTTAACTGACTGCACCTCTGTAGGGTTTGCCAGTTGCACCAGGGCAGATAGGACAGCACTCCAGAGGGTGAATGTCATTGCCCAGAAGATCATTGGTTGCCCTCTCCCCTCTTTGGAAGAGCTTTATAGTTCCCGCTGCCTTTCAAAACATCCTCAAAGATCCATCTCATCCTGGGAACCCTTTTTTTTTTTTAACTATTACCATCTGGTAGACAGTACCGGAGCATAAAAACAAGGACAAATAGGCTGAAAAACAGCTTCTATCCCAGTGCAGTAGCTCTGTTGAATTCTACTGTATAGTGCAATATGAATGCAATATCAGGGTTTTTTCCATTCAATTGTATAGAATGTGAAGGATGTATGTTTGTGTTTTAGTTTTATGGTCATTATGTACACTGAAGATGCATTTAATTTTGTTGTATGAGGTGCAATGACAATAAAAGTAAACTAATTCCTCTCCATCATCATAGGGACAATCCCGTCCCATCCCAGCTTCTTCTGTTAATCCTTCTTTTCCTTGACTTATGCTGCAAACAGTTTATTAGATGTATTATGTCTTATGCATTTGACTTGATAGTCAAAATAAAACCATTAGACAAAAGAGCAGTGGAATCTGTCATATCCTAAAGAGCAAACATTTAAGAATCAAGCTTCCTCTACAAGGAATCAGGCTTTCCCTGAATTGAACTTTAACACTAGAGAAGCGTTACAGGAATTTCTTGTTAAATTTTGAGAGAATAGCAGATCCCTTGGTTTTATTAATGATTAATCAAACATCACTTTGCAGTCATGGAGATAACTTGGAGAAAAACTCTGCAGAAGGATCTATTCCTTTTTGTTGTTGTTACATTAAAGTGTATTTTGTACATAAATTGATATACACTGCAAGACACTCTTATTTGTAAGAAAATTCTAAGTTGCACACTGGTAAAGATGGGGACAGTCTGGTTTTTCTCTTTCCATGCATTTCATATATGTGTATATGTGTGTGTGTATTTGTGTGTGTGTGTGTGTGCGTGTGTGTGTAAGAGAAGAAACAGACATCTTGCAGATCTCCAGAACTAAAATTATATTTATTATACTTACTAAGCTTTCGTCATGACATCTCAGACTATTAAGCTATTAAGCTACCATTACAGAGATCTATGCCTTTATATATCATTAATCAATTTAACCCTTGCATAGGTAATAGGCTCTTCCAACTGCCTCCCACCTGCGATTAACTCTGTTGTTTTTGCTTCAGTCAGGTCGGTTGAAGGAGATTTAACCTTTGTTGTTTCCGCCCTTGTCAGACCCAGCCTGGACTGCTTATCTCTAAGAAGTGATGTTAACCTGCCAGCTATTTGCAATTTGCTGCTTTGCTCATGACCTTGTGTCCGGCCTGGCTTGTTCTTCATTATTCCTGTCTGTTATAATGGTAACGGTATAGCGGTATATAAGCTGAAATGGTAGCTTAATACTCTGACAATGTCAGCGGAAGCTGACAAAAGCTTAGTAAGTATAATAAATATAATTTTAGTTCTGGAGATCACAAGGTGTCTGTTTCTTCTCTTACAAGTATACCTGGAACTAACTAACTAACTAAAACACTCTCTCTCTCTCTCTCTCTCTCTCTCTCTCTCTCTCTCTCTCTGCTGTGTGTGTGTGTGTGTGTGCATTCCACATATTAATTCTACAATGTTAACATAATAATATCCAGCATACTAATCATAATACTTACTTATCTCTTTTAACATACCTTCTTTATTTTGTTTCCCTGTTTCTAACTTCCATTTTTATTATTTAACCATCTGATTCATCCACAGAGTTGACAGAACTAAGGTAGGCACCACAAGTTAAACCTGCATAAGACATGACAGCAAGGAATCATTTGAGGAAGAAATCGAGATACCATTGATCTCTCGCGCGGCTCGCCCCTCCAAAAAGAACAGCACCAAGGGAAACAGGATGTCTTGGTTTTCAGTCAACACATTTCTCACCAACTTCCCTGTTGCTTTGTTGTGGACAATTCCTTTGTTAAGAAACAGGCAGCATATCTTTGACTTTAGTTGTCATGACCCCTGACCAGCAGATCAGAAACTTTTGTTGTTTTGAATGTTGAAATAACAAAGAAGTCGGTTTAGCAGTTGCAAAATCAAGAAGTGTGTTAGTATCACAAACCACTCCTTTACCCTTCATAGTATTTCTCCTGAAAATAGACGCCAGAACATTTCTCAAGAATTCATGTATTCAGTTGTAGCACTTGCCAATCTAATTGAACCCAACAAGACAGGTGGGAAAAAGGAGCATAAGAAAAAAATGAAAGAGGCTGTACAAACACCCAAGATTGGCAAATTATGTGCAAATCTACACACTTTTTGGTGTTTTCTTTTAGTAATAGTCAGCCAGCTCTGAGGCTAGGTGTCTGTATTACTTCAGAATGTGGGTTTTCTATTTCTGTGATTGTTTGTTTTTCATAAATTTTCTGTCCAAAGAACACAAGGCAACTTGTTGGGAAACAACAACTGTAACACAGCTGTATCACAACCAATTGTAACACAACTAACAGGAAACTCCGAGGATCCCAGCTATGATTAGAGGTGACTTGGAGATATCGGTAAAAAGCATCAAGTAGAATTGATCTCCGCAAGTAGCAGCATCTCCTCAGCCCAGAAATGAAGCAGTTGAACCTGACCTGTATTTAGATAGGGAAAAAAAATCAGAGAATCCCAGGGCTAATAGCAAAAAACATTTTGGGAAATAGAAAAACATCCTGGAAGCAACCAATGGCAAATCACATCCCTACGGTAGCCAAGAATGGTGCATGGGTAAATCAGTGAAACGAATAGTAGTCACATTTCACTCTGTGTATTTATCTTCTAAAATTTATTAATATTGTATTTCTACTTTAGTGGAGCGGGGGGGGCAGTGACATTTGTGAAATCTTCAGCTTTAACCGCAAATAGCTTGCCTCGCCTTAGATCTTGTGCATCTTGTCTAGGTATTTCCGGCTACTTCATCTGAAGAAGCGGAAGAATTGGGGACAGGCCAGGTATATATGTCCTAGTCACTGAGCCTGTTGACTAAGAATGAAGAATTTTAACAATTTCCAGTGCTCCATTGAAGCTTTTAGCGGATGAAACAAAAAAATGTATATTTATGGCAATTACTGTATAACTTGCACATCCTAATAACCCATGCTTAAGTGTGTGTGTGTCTAACAGATAACAGATAACAGAAAATCAGACTTGGAAGGGACCTTGTAGGTCATCTAGTCCAACCCCCCGCCCAAGCAGGGGACACTACACCATTTCTGACAGAGGGCAGTCCAATCTCTTCTCGAAAGTCTCAAGTGATGGCGCTCCCACAACTTCCGAGGGTAACTTCTGTTCCATTGGTTGATGGTTCTCACTGTCAGAAAGTTTCTCCTTGTTTCCAGGTTGAATCTCTCCAGTTTCCATCCATTATTCCTTGTCTGGCCTTCAGGTGCTTTAGAAAATAGCTTGACCCCCTCCTCTGTGTGGTAGCGCCTCAAATATGGGAACTCTGCTATCCTGCCTCCCCTGGTCCTTCTCTTCCCTAGACTAGCCAGGCCCAGTTCCTGCAACCATTCATCATATGATTTTAGTCTCCAGTCCCCTCATCATCCTGGTTGCTCTTCTCTGCACTTTTTCCTAGAGTTGAGAGTTCTTTTTTATAGTGTGGTGACCAAAACTGGATGCAGTACTCTAGGTGTGGTCTTACTAAGGCTTTATAGAGTGGTATTAGTACCTCCCTTGATCTCGATTGTATCCCTCTGTTAATACAATTTAGGATTGCGTTGGCTTTTTGGGCTGCTGCTGCACACGGCTGGCTCCTATTTAGCTGGTTGTCCACTAAGACTCCGAGATCCCTCTCCCAGTTCCTGCTATTGAGCCTGGTTTCACCCAGTCTATATGTGTACTTTTGGTTTTTCTTGCCTAAATGTAGGACTTTACTTTTCTCTACACTGAATTTCATTTTGTTAGATATGGCCCAGTGTTCTAGTCTGTCAAGATCCATCTGGATCTTGAGCCTGTCTTCTTGGGTGTTAGCTATACCTGCCAGCTTAGTATCATCTGCAAATTTGGTAAGTTCCCCTTCTATTCTATCTGTCTATTCTGTTCTATCTGTCTATACAGATAGATTTTGCATCTTCACCAGTGTTCATATCTCATAATAGACATAGACACATACATGCATACTTATTTTGTAGACTGGTCATTTTTTAATATTTAGTTGATAGCAATACAAAAGTCATTTCCCACTGCCTTCTTCCAGGATGCAGTTTCCACCTTCCTCACTCCATCTTTGAGGTCCACTGCTAGTTTCCCATCCACATACTAACTCTCCAATTCTGCTGCATTTTTCAAGATTAGCCAAGATTGGATAAACGTTTTTTAATATTAAATTTTATTGAATTTTCACCTTTAAAAAATGAATTCTATATACATTTTTTGCAGTTGTTTGTAGCATCAGTTATTCCATTTTCCTGTATGTATGTGTGTGTATGTGTATATATATATATAATTCACAATTGCACTTTTGCACTTTTACGATATTTTTTCTTTCGATTGTCTAACCAGACATACCATTTTTCCCAGACCGTATTGAATTCTTTTTCTTTCCTCTCCTGCAATTTCATTGTGAGTTTCTTCATTACAGTCCAATCCATTACTTTCTTTATAATCATATCCTCTGTGGGGCTATTATCTAGTTTCCAATTTTGAGCATATGATATCCTGGCCGCGGTTAATGTATGAATTATTAAACATTTGATATCTTTTGCATATTCCCCTTTAGTTATCCCTAATAAGAATGTTTCAGGTTTGGATACTATCTTTAAGCCTGTTATTTCCTGTAACCAGATCTTTACTTTATTCCAAAATGTTATCGCTTTTGGACAGGTTCACCACATGTGAAAGAAGGTACCTGATTTCTTTTTGTATTTCCAACATTCTGATTTCAAATTTGGATAGATTTTGGCCAGTCTCACCAGTGCTAGATGCCAAAGATTGGATAAATATTTTTAATGTTGGAATACAGTATTATCTATTATTTTCATAAGACAATAAATGTTTATGAAGCTACCAAAAGAGCAGTCACAATTCAATCTATTAGAAAGAGTTAAAAGAGAAGCCACCCCTCTGACATCATTCATGGTCCCCAACTCTTTTTAATGTCCCAATCCTCAGCCAAAATCACCCCAAATCATTAGCAGTTTCTCATGACCTACTGTAATAGAACTCACCTGCTATATCTAAATATTATCGTGGGTTTTTTTAATCAACAGTTCCTGCCAGTAAAAAAAGATACACATCCTATTCATATTTGTAGCATGTCCTTTTCCATTTCATCTTGTAATTCTGCTCCCTACAATCGCATACTAACAATTTAAATACAACTCTTGCCCATCCAGAGGTTGCCCAGAGTAAAACGTATAACACAAACCTGAAAAACCTAAATGTAACTGAAGTCCTACTGAAATCGGTTGATTCACAATGTTTTCCTCTATGTTTTACTCAGAACTAACTCCCTTCAAATTTCTCCCCAGAACAAATTTAACTAGTAAAATTAAGTTTGACTTAGTAGCTTGATAATGCTTGCCTATATATTACAGAAAGGTGCTATAATATAAAATTCCTAGTAGTACTAGGAGTAGTATATATAGTAGTATATATTATAGTAGTATAGTATATAGTATATATAGTATAGTATATAGTAGTAGTATATATTATATAGCGACATGTGTTTCTCATTTATATTTTTATTTTAAGCACATATTCGCCATGACTGAAGAAACTACTGAAGTAATTTACGAGGATGGAGCCATTCCATGTGATAAAACGGACATCCAGATGCTTGGAAAAATCTTCCTGCCCGTATTGTATGGCTTGGTGTTCACCATTGGGATGGTAGGGAATTTTCTAGTGGTTCTTACCATTCTGAAAGCCAGACGCCAAAAGAGCATCACTGATATTTTTTTCCTGAATTTGGCCATCTCTGACCTTCTTTTTGTGATCTCTCTTCCTTTTTGGGCTTCTTATATTATACGTGATTGGAGACTTGGGAACTTCACGTGCAAAATGGTTTCCTCTTTCTATTCCGTGGGCTACTTCAGTGGCATGTTTTTCATCACCATCATAAGCATTGACAGATACCTGGCTATTGTTCGGGCAACATGTATTATGAAATCGAGGACAGTCACCTATGGGCACCTTATTAGTATATCAATATGGGCCCTAGCAGTTTTCTTTGCAAGCCCCCATTTTATATTCATGCAAGAGTCAGACCGAAAGTGTACTTCATCGTATCCAGAACATCTTCATATAATATGGCCTGTTTTCAGCTACTTGGAAATGAACGTCATTGGATTTCTTCTCCCGATGTGCATCATGAGCTACTGCTATCTGCAGATCATCAGAACATTACTGTCCTGCAAAAACCAGTGCAAACAAAAAGCTATGAAAGTGATTTCACTTGTGGTAATCGTATTTTTTCTCTTCTGGACTCCATATCACTTATCACTTTTTCTGCAAGTGCTACGGTACTTTGAAGTCTTCAAAGACTGCAGTTCCTTAAGGTCTCTGGATTACACTGTACAAGTGACTGAGACAGTAGCTTTCAGCCACTGCTGTCTTAATCCAATCATCTATGTATTTGCTGGTGAAAAATTCAGAAAGTACCTTTCCCGTTTGGTTCTCAAGTGCATTTCATTCACATGTGCCTGTGGGTATTGTGGCAAATATAGCAGTGGAGTGCCTACTGCTATTCCAGATTGTGCTATGACCAGCAATCACACCCAGAATACAAGTGACCGAGAAATGTCTCTCCTTCTTTGATTGCTAATAGTTCAATAGTATTGAATACTGTGGTATACTGAATACTGAACTATTTTATCCAGACTATTCATAGTCTTCAGGTTCTCATATTCCTAGCACAACAAATCTTGTGTACCATAGTTAATAGGATTATATTTCTTTTTTATTATTTTTATTATAAAAAGTTTTTATTGTTATTTTTTTAAAAAACAGGACAATATTTCAAGTATTCTCTTTACAGGCAGAAATATAAATTTATTTTATTTATGAAGTAATGTTACTCCACATTCCTGCTTTAGTATCAGTTTATCCTCTTTATGAGGAGCAGCAAATAAGTAAAATTAATAACCAATAAATTCTTTATTGTTTACATCCTGGTTTCTTACTATTTATTGTTTAAGCAATTACATCCTTGTTCCACTGTTGAGGTAATTCCCCGTTAGGAGAATGAGCGCATACAGGGAGACGTAGTGAGAGAAGTGTTTGAATAATACACACACACAGAGCACACAGATACACTGTACAGTTAATGTAGGTTTTTACTTTCAATAAACGTTCAAGCAAAGTCCAAACAAGCAATCCAAGTCAAGCACAGTTAAATCAGTCAGTGTTCAGTCCAAGGATAATTCCAATATCAAACTCCAGTATCAAAAAACAGTTCAGTAACAGACTTACATCAAAGAGCAATAACAATCATAGGAGGAACAACAATACCCTCCAACAGAAACAACAGAGAGACTGAGACCTCTGAGACTCAAACAACCCAGGTTTCTGGCTCCATCTTATGGCCATTTGAGAAACCACAGCCAATTACAGTTTTCTTAAAGATACAGTATTAAAATGTCTATCCTGGTTTATATATTTCCAGCCCAAAAAACTGTTAGGTGACTTACATTCCTAACATCCACAACATATTATTCAGAGGGTTTTTTTATATTGGAAGCTCTGCCATGAAGCTCTGCTTTGAGTACTTCACATAAATGGAGGTGTAGGAAGAATTACTGCAAAATAAAGCTATAGTGCCGAGGTCTCCAAACTTGGCAACTTTAAGGCTTGTGGGCTTCAACTCCCAGAATTCTCCAGCCACCTATGTCCACAAGTCTTAAAGTTGCCAAGTTTGGGGATCCTGCTATAGTGGCTCACTTTCTTGGCACTATTCTACACAACTGAAACTGTGATGACCCAAAGGGGCGTGGCACAAAAATAACAAAGTCACCAAAGTAGATAAATTCCCTTTAATGCCTCCAACTTGGCCCCCAATGTCCAGTTATCCTCACTGGGAGATCAAACTCTTTCAAAAACAGTCTACAAAGGGAAGAAATGCAGTCCAAACTTTCATCCAAATTTCATCCATGGAATCTTTCTCAAGTTCTGTCTGAGTTTATTGAAATCAGCTCTTTTAAAATCCAAGACTCTGGCGTCATTATGTTCTGTTGCTTGTGTTTGTATTATGTTGTTCTTGTATGACATGGTCACTCCCACCCAAGGTTCCTGCAGTTTCAATTCCCTCTATCACTTCTTCTCTGTTTGTAAGAATTAAGTCCATTATGGCTGTCCCTCTAGTTTCACCCTCTACCTTTTGGACAACAAAGTTGTCAGCTAGTTTGGTTAGGAACTTACTATTGTTGTATGATTCCTGCGTATGTTAGTTAGTTGGCCGGCAAAAAGGACATCATATATTCTGCTTGATTGGGTGGCCTATAATATACACCTATGGCCATGTCATTCTTTTTTTCTTTTATATTGACCCATATGCATTCTAGGAGGTTTTCATCTTTGGTTTCATGCATTTCTGTAGCAATATAGCGGTCCTTTACATACAGTGCAACTCCACCTCCTCTTTCATGGGGTCTGTTTTTTTTTAAAAACAAGTAACAATAAAATATTTTGAAGTTACTGTCTATGCTTTCCTAAAATGGGGAAAACTGAGAAAGAAAAAATGACCTGCGGGGGGGGAAGTAAGAACACTATATAATTATTCTTATTAATTGTTCAACTTTGATTAAAAAGGAATATTTCTTCTGGCAAAGATCCAATTCTATTTCAACTGTGCCACAAGTTGTAAAAGGAGAAATGATCCGCCTTTTTATACAGGGAACTTGTAAAGGAAAGACCTAAATAAAGCTAACAAATCAGACAGATTAACCACTTCTGGTTTTTTGCCCTCCATATGTTCTGTTTTGAAACCAGCTTAAATAGCTCAACCATATCATGAAAGTGGTTGTCAGCATTCCAACCAGCGCTGTCTGAAGACGTCGCCGTGGTCATGTGGCCAGCATGACTAAATGCCTTCGAAGGCGCATGGAACGCTGTTCCCTTCCCACCAAAGGGGTCCCTATTTTTCTACTTGCGTTTTTATATGCCTTCTGATCAACAAGCTCAGCGTCTTAGCCACTGAGCCACCATGTTCCCTTTGCTGGACTGGGTAGCTTACATCTATTAGAACATAAACAATACCAAAACAAAAGCAAAATATAAAAGGGATGAAAAAACATTTAAACAGTGTTTTTTAAAAGGTAGAAAAAACCCAAGAAAGAAAATAGCAAAATGCAGTGTGGAGTATGTTCTCATCAGAGAGAAAACAGACCTGCAGGGGAATTTTCCCACATACATTTGAACTGGAGACCAGGAAATGTAAAAATTTACAGAATGTTGATAAAATGAAAAAATTTAAGACTTTTTTCTTAAATAGAAAAATAAAAAATAAAATAACTTTTCCCCTTGATTTCTTTCAAACTTCCCACCCTATCCTACTTGTGCAATTATCCCATGTTTAATGACCTTTGCTCTTTAATGGCCAACCCTTCTCATTTTTCATGGTTGTCTCCTCCCGTTAGCCCTGTGAGGTAGTCCAGACTGGAAGCACAACTTAATTGCAAGGCTGCGTTCACAGAATCTTGCACATCCCAAATTGCATCCGCTTGTTTCTCCCAAGGCCATTCCCCCAAACCATTACACACCCTCGGTTAATCTCCTCAAAGTGAAATGGGAGGAAGCGGGCAACTTAGGGTCATTTTATCAAACATCGGATAGAAGTGTAGCACGTTTTTCTGAGTCACATATTTTACTGAAGGGCAGAAGCATTTGTGGATCAGAAAAGATGCTAGCCAATGATGATCAAATCCATTATCTTACTTAAAGTAAAAAGAGATAAATAGTTTAATACAACACATTTTTATTAGGGAAAATGAACAAGAGGACTATAAAACAACATATCTAATTAGAGGTTTTACACAATTGTATCCCATGGTGAAGATATTTGTCCGCCTGACATGTAAGTGTGGGATTCTCATCCCTTAAAAACAATAAAGAGAAAACATAGCAATAAATCTACCCTTTAATTTGGTGTTGATTTCTATAAATTTTCTGAAACATTCTTATATTCTTCACACTTAGTACAGATATTTTCTATTCATACCTTAATTTCTTTCATTTTTCTTCAAATATTCTTGTATCTTCTTTATATAATATTTAAAAATCTTATTTCTTGTTCTATACTCATTGTACTTATACTTTTATCTGTCACATTTGCAAATTCATTGCATACTCTTAGTTCATTGTTCAAAAAATTCCATCATAGTTCTAATAATTCAAAAATTCAAAGATCTTTCCCTTTAACTACTAATTTGAGTGTACCACCCCTTTGTCTTATACATCATTCAGTTAACTCCCCTTTAAGTCATAGTAATGATTTATCACAGTATAATCATATTTTAGTTATCACTTTTTGAGTTAATAACAATAATCTCCTAGCTACTGCATAACACGTATATATTTTAAGGCAGATTCCTCATGGTATTTTCCCCTTGGTTACATTCTAGTTCATTTATTATTTCAAGTACATTAATCTATTCAATATACCATGTAATGATATGATATGAAATTGAATGTGAAAGATGAATATGTAACTAAGGTCATGTTTGTATGGAAATGTAAACATCTGGAACCACGCTGCTGACCAAAAGAGACGTTTTTTTGAAACATAAAAATAAAAAGCTTTTTACAAAAAAAAATTTGGAGGTGATCATGGACAGATCAGAGACTGTCCTGGGGTGGATGGGATGTTTATTTGGAAAAGGGGGTCTCTGAGACCTTTTCGAGTGGGGGTGGGGGTTGGGGAAGGTGCCCCTCTCGTCACGGGAAAACCTATGGATTCACTTTTGCGACAGCAGGATCGATCGATGGGCCCTCAGCTTCTCCCGCTTGGCACCATGAGCCCTCTGCTTGGCCAGGGGAGGGAGGGCATGTCCCAGGGGTACTAGATGCCCCCATGGAAATGGGGGTGGGGGTGGGCTGCCCTATGGCTCCAATCAGGATTGGTCGTAAGGAACTTTCTGAGCTAACTTTTCAGGAAAGCCTGACTCCTGGAAAGAAGTGGTATTTCCCAAGGAGCAAGAAGCTGTGATGACCCAGGATGTGGCACAAAGGCAACACAGTCCTATAAGTAAGGAGAGTCCCTTTAATTCCTCCAACTTGGCCCCCAATGTCCAGTTATCATCGGCTGGAGAAAAAACTCTCCCAATAACAGTTCTTAAAGGGAAGAAATTCAGTCCGAACCCAAAGTACATCTAAATTATAAATAAAAACCAACACAAACCACGCTGCAGCAACTAACGAGACAAGGCAGGATAAGGAATTTTAAGACTTCAAAAGCTAACGCAACACACACAGTTGGGTGGACACCAGAACTCAGATAAGACTTGACAAACCAAAATAATGCACGCTTTGCTTCCAGCAAGGTGCTGTGCGCAAATACCCTTTATATCCTGTTTTACCAGCTTCAGCTAGTGAAGGGAATCAGGGCCTTTTTCTCCCCAGGAACCCACGTTGCTCCCTTCTCCATTCCTCCCTGCGTGCCCTAGGATGAAGAGGGGGTGGGCTTGGGTCTTCCTCAGTTTCCTCCACAGCCACTGGAGTCACACTCCCACGCCCTGTCAGCTGTTCCACCTCCCCCTCGGAATCAGATTACAACAGGGGCATGACAGAAGGGATTGCGGAGAAGTCAGGCGGAGTCTGAAAATTCCCACCCAAAGTATTAAGCTAATTTCCCCTGTTCAGCCACCACCCAATGCCCCACGTAGCCAATATGATGCCACAAAAGATGTTATGAGAACTCTGAGGCGGGATGATGATAGCAGGTCATCCTTGGAATAGTGCGACCTTGGGTAAGAGGTTGGAACCAGCAGGGAGGGAGTCCATCCTGATGGTCTACTCCCCCTCCCCAATTCCCATGCGGTTACAGCAAAAGCATTCAAAGCAATCAGCCCCCAAAAGCTTCTCCCCTCCCCTTTGGACTGGTAGCATTCTGGCAGGGACCTGACAGTTGGATTTGAAACCAGGGGAAGAGAGGAGGAGTCTGCAAGAAGGGGGAGGAGCAAAACCAGGTGTCAGTGTCCCAACTAGCAGGCTCCAAGCCAATAAACTCCGAGACAAGCATTTTTCTCGAAGTTCCATTTTTCCCCTCCCCAAAGAAATTCAAAATCCATCCCCTGCACCCACCCACCCATCACATGGTCCAATCAAACCGTCTTCCCAACTGGGGACATCCCTCCAGACACTTCTATCCAGGTGCAGGGCAACATGTCCTTGACTCTCTAAGAAAAGAATGTTGTTGAGTCTAATCTTCCACCTCTCCACTCCCAAATTCCGGGGCAGTAAATGTGGCGGCCTCAAAGCTTCCAAGTAAAATATGGCTTCTAAGGCTGACACCAGGGTAGTAACCCTTCATCAAGCTCTAAGGGGAGAGAAGGGAGCAGATCTCCCGAGGCCACAGAGTAACCATCAGGCAACGGAAGCTCCCTCAGCCTACCTCACAGGGCGGGGAACTGTACAAGCTCCTGAGTGTGAAACAAACAAACCAACATGGTCTCTTTGGGGTCCAGACAAGGCAGCAGCGAAAACAGATCGAGGGGCAGTTGAGATACAGGAGAGGAAGGCATTGGGTGGCCACAGAGAAGTGACGTGGAACAGCCCTGCAGCCACCCTGTGAGCCCCTCCCACTAGCCACATTGGGAATAGAGTCCATTGGGTGGCCCCCAAAAGCATCTTTGTCCCAAAGGTTCCTCTTGAAATCCACCAAGGAGACCATGGATATGTTAAGAGGCAGGAGGGGACGACTCATCTGAGGCCTCTGTCTGTAGGATCCCATGGTGGCGGGCTCCTCTGCGAGTCTGTCGGCCTCCCTTTTCCAACTGCTAGGAAGGAAACGAAGGAGATGGTTGAGCTTCAGGTAACAGGAAGCACCCAAAGGCAGACCTCCAAGGGGCCATCAAGTGGAGTAGATTGGAGGACTCAAAAGGAGAAGCTTGCCAGGAAGATCCATTCATTCATTCATGCATCCTGTGTCATTCTGCTACCATAACAGAAGTGGCCTCATAATGGAAATCCATCTTGATCTTACTGAGTCAAAAATTTTTTACTACCGGTTCTGAGGAGGGCACATGGCTCGGTGGGCTGGCAGGGGAAAGGTACTGCAAAGCCCCCCTTCCCTCCCCACCCCCACTAACCTTCTTTCCAGCTCCATTCTCCTGTGCAGGGCAACCAAAGAAGACCCAGCCGATCAGCTGGGACTCAATGAGAGGCAGAGAAGAGATGGGGTTGGCGGGGCCAGTCAGGGGTGAGATTTGCTGGTTCTCCCAACTACTCAAAATTTCCACTACCGGGTCTCCAGAACTGGTCAGAACCTGCTGAATACCACCTCTGTACTGAGTGATTCTACATAGAGCAGCTACTCTACACAGCCTCTTGAGTTGGGTGATTCTGGCTGAGGTGAGGGAGGTTTTGCACTGTGCAGGTGCTTGGGACCAGTCTAAAATTCTGGATCTTGAGGAATACAGAAGGTTCTCCCTGCTTTTTGATGTGTCACTGTCCTGCTGGTTGACCAGGGTGGCCAGGAATGTGTGAGGGGGGTGAATGCAGGTGGCGGTAAATGCAGCCTTTGTTGAAGATATGCTGTCCACTCTTCCCTTTTGGAGATGGTGGTTGGACCAGAGTTAGACAGAGCCCTGCGTGGAGCAGTGTTTGGATGCTTTGAGTCGAGATTCAGGAGTGGATGTGGGACTGAATGGACATTCAGTCACGACCTTTAGTGGGATTAGGATGGAGGAAGAGTAACTATCTGCTGCGTCGCTTGCATCTTCGATTCCATGGACCAGGCTGTCCTCCTGGATTGACCGGAAGGCATTGCGGGATCAGTTTTATCGATGTTAGGAAACATCAGGCTTACATGGCCAGATCCTGTTCTCTGGGCTTCAAGCCTTCTACCGGGATTTGAACCCATGGACCCCTGCACTTAGCTCAGATGAGCAGATTGGAACCATTAGGGTTAGCAGCTGTCCATGTCCTGGTGGTCAGTGGTTCTGCTGCAAGGCAGGCATGGAATTCATCAGAGTGGAATATTCACACACACACACACACACACACACACACACACACACACACACCTTCAGGGGAGGGATGGGGGAGTCAGGAATGTGGCCTTGGGTGCTAAATCCCAAGACCGTCATCCCTGCGTTCTAGGCTTCCATGATTGAAATGACCCCTGGATGGCAGCAAAGGGAGACCGGGAACTCCAAATACCTACTTTGGTCTGCTTCTACCTCTGAGAAGGCGAGGCAAGGGGAGGGGAAGGGGAAGGAGAAGAGGAAAGGGGGAAGGGCACTTATTCAGTAGCTCCAGTGTGCCTTATTCTCTAATCTGTTCATTGTCAACTCCACCCTGTTCCTCTGGCTCCTCTCCGGGGCAGAAGGTGCAGGAGAAGAAAAGGGAGACGGTACCTTTTCTGGATTTCACCCTCAGGATGAGCCCCAAACAGCCAAGAAGGAGAAGACTTCCCACTTTGCTAAGGCACAGCAGGGCCCAGAGAGGCAGCCCGGAGGAGCTCTTGGATGTCCTTCCTGAAAGAGAGCAACCTGTTAACTCTTTCAGCAGGTTCTCCAGAACGGAGAAGAGCGCTTGGACTCATTGCAACGGACGTTCCTCCAACCCCAGGCAGATGACCGGACCTGGAATCCCACCCAGACTCCATCCAACCACTAGGGCAGGGGTTATCAGGTTGTGCTGATCCCCAGTGGACCAGCTGAAGCTCTTGCATGGCCTTCAGAGGCTGGTCCCAACACAAGTTCAGTCACCTCATTGGGAGAACCCACCAAACAAGATCCCTGAGTCCACTGTCACCCAGCCTTGCTTAAGGATGAAATCCAACCCTGGTCCTTTCCATCTGTGATTTAATGATTATCTCCAGATCAACTGTAACACGACACTTTCATTAATGTTATAGGGTACCCCATAATTTGAATTAAATACATGCATAATTTTTATTCTTCAGAATTGTTGGTTGCAGCCCAACCCCTTTCAACCTCCTGTAGTTCTCCTCCACAAATAAGTGTAGGAGGGTCTACTTTCTCCGAGACCATTTTGCTCCCGACTAAATTTATCTATGGCCCAGTAGTGGGATTCTATGGGCGTGGCTTGGTGGCCATGGCTTGGTGAGCATGGCAGTGGAAGGTTAATGCAAAATTCCCCTTCCCTTCCCTCCCCACCACACTAACCTGCTTTCCAGCTCCATTCTCCTGGGCAGGGCAACAAAAGAAGACCTAGCTGGTCATCTGGGACTCGGGAGACGGAAAATAGATGGGGGCATGGCCAGTCAGGGGTGGTATTCCAAACTACCCAAAATTTCTGCTACCAGTTTTCCAGAACTGGTCAGAACCTGCTGAATACCACCTCTGCTTTGGCCCCGAGACCTCTTTCAAGGAGAGAAAAACTTACCAGCACCAATTATCACATTAAAAAAGAGGAAAACCTTCTATGCACCAGTTCCACCCGCGCCTTCTACAATTTTGTAAACAACAAACTAAAAGACTCAAGGTCCATCCCACCCCTGAAAGGACCTAATGGCAAAGACTGCAACGATGACACCATCAAAGCCAACCTCTTTAACACATTCTTTGGCTCAGTATTTGTAAACAGCAATGGATCAAGCCCAGTATTTCCTAGTTGATTCACAGACAACTACAATGATCTAATACATATCGATTTTACTGAAGACAATATTGAAAAAGCACTATGCAATCTAAAACCATCTCTATCTATTGGACCGGACAGAATATGTGCCTACTTCTTAAAAAAGCTACCCACTGCCATAACTGAACCTCTGAGCATAACCTTTGAAAAATCTTTCAGGACCAGCTCCTTGCCAAAACTATGGTCACAAGCCACGGTCATCCCCATCTTCAAAAAGGGAGACCCCAGCCTAGTTGAAAATTACAGACCAATCTCCTTATGCTGTGTCACCTGTAAAGTCATGGAATCAATTATTATCCAATCCATTATCCTCCACTAAGAAACAAACAACCTACTCTCCAATAAACAATTTGGTTTCAGAAAAAAACTATCCTGTAATCTGCAACTCTTACACTGCAAAAACATATGGGCTACACAACTTGATCAGGGCAAAGCAATAGACGCAATCTACATAGACTTCTGTAAAGCCTTTGATTCAGTGGTACACGACAAACTACTCCTAAAACTAAAATCTTATGGTATCTCTGGACACCTGCATAACTGGATAGAAGCATTCCTGTCAAAAAGACAACAAATGGTCAAAATTGGGAGCGTTCTATCAAGTTTTGTACCTGTCAACAGTGGTGTCCCCCAAGGCAGTTTTCTTGGACCAACTCTCTTCATACTCTTCATAAATGACCTCTGTGATCATATTAAGAGCAACTGCGTTCTCTTCGCTGATGATGTAAAGCTATTCAACACCACAGACAATACTACTACCCTTCAAAAAGACCTCGACTATGTATCAGAATGGTCAATCAAATGGCAACTTCAAATCTCAACAAATAAATGTTCTGTCCTACATATTGGCCAAAAAAATCAGAAAATAAAATACAGGCTGAATAGTCAAGACCTTGTTGATGATCCAAACTCTGTCAAGGACCTTGGAGTACTCATCTCTAATGATCTAAGTGCCAGAGCCCACTGTAACTACATAGCCAAAGAGGCATTAAGAGTTGTTAACCTAATCTTACGTAGCTTTTTCTCTGGTAATATCACACTACTAACTACAGCATACAAAACATTTGCTAGACTAATACTTGAATACAGCTCATCAGTCTGGAACCCACATTACGTATCGGATATCAACACAGTTGAGAAAGTCCAGAAATATTTCCCTAGAAGAGTTCTCCACTCTTCTACTCCTTGCAGAATACCTTATGCCACCAGACTCGAAATTCTAGACCTACAACTATGCCACCTTTGGTCCGATCTAAATATAGTATATAAAATCATACAATGCAATGTCCTACCTGTCAATGAATACTTCAGCTTCAACCATAACAACACAAGAGCAAACAATAGATACAAACTCAAGGTAAACTGCACCAAATTTGACTGCAGGAAATACGACTTCAGCAACAGAGTGGTCGATGTCTGGAATACCCTACCTGACTCTGTGGTTTTTTTCTCCAAACCCCAAAAACTTTAACCTTAGACTGTCTCCTATTGACCTCACCCCTTTCCTAAGAGATCCGTAGGGGGTGTACATAAGTGCACCAACATGCCTACCGTCCCTGTCCTGTTGTTTGTTTTTCTTATTTGTATCCATTTCATGTATTCATAACTATGTTTATGCTTATACCTGTTATCTTATAATCGCTTGACAAATAAACAAAACAAAACAAAACAAGCTTCCTTTAAGGAGACTGTCCTGAATGCTAACCAGGTTTTCTGCTCAGCAGGTCACACTGAGAGGAGGAAGGTCTTGAGAAAGGTTGATGACAGAACTCCCAAGGGCGGGATCCTTTCTCTGAACCCCTGAGCTCCAGCTGAATGTACCCCCTCTTCCCAGGGCTCGTTAGAACAATTCAGCCACCAACCTCCATTTCCAGTTGCAACGGGAGTGCCGGTCGCGCTCAGTTGAAAATCCAGCAAACGCCCTGAGCAGGACATGGAGAGACACCATTTGGGAAAGAACAAAAACTCACAGGGAAGCCAGAGAGGAAGGAAAAACAGCAACAGCAAGGATCAATCAATGGTTTTCCTTAGATTAGAACGGGAAAAATACGTGTCACTGATTTCTGTCACGTGCCTACCGTCCCTGTCCTATTGTTTCTTTTATTTCTTTTATTTTTCTTATATGTATCCACGTATTCATAACTATGTTTTTACTTATACCTATTACCTTGTAAGCAATTCACAAACCAAATAAATAAACTAATAAACAAACAAATAAATAAATAAACAATTTCTTTTGGTTTGTGGTTGCAGCTCAACCCCTTTCAATTCCCGTGTTCTCCTGCACAAATAACAGAGGGAAGTTGGGCCTTCTGTAGGACCTTTTGTCTCCCAGCTAAATGTCAGATTCGTCGTTGGTCCCGTGGACTCTTTCAAGGAGAGAAAAACTTACCAGCACAAACTTTCTTTAAAGAGACTGTTGTGGACGCCTTGCTAACCGGGTTTTCTGCTGCACAAGTGACGTTGAGATTGAGATCGTAGGAGGTGACGGTCACAGAACTCCCAAGGGGAGGATTCTTGCTTTGGACATCTGAGGGCCAACTGAATTTCACCCCATCTTCCCAAGTCCCTGCAGAGCAATTCAGCTTCCAAGTTCCATTTCCAACTCCAGTGCAGGACACTTTCATCTCAGAGTCCAGCAAGCGCCCTGAGAAGAAGATGGAGGCATCACATTGTGAAAGGACACAGAGTCACAGGGGGGCCAAGGAGGAAGGAGGACAGCAACAGCGGTGGCTCAATCCATGGATTTGCTTAGATTAGAGCCGGGGAAAATAATGTGTTACGCATTTCAGTCACAAATAATAGCAATCCCAGAATAATTCCCCCCGCTCACATATGTCACTCATTGTACAGGGAGAGGCCCACCAGGATAGAGGGGGGCAGGTACCCCTCTGCAGGTACCCCAATTCCTCTTTGGGGATGGAGGGAGAGAGGATGAGGCTCCAGGCTCAGACCCTAAAGGACCCCTTGATTTATCCCCGAGGAATTTGTAGATCCAGCCGGTTCCACCACATCCATGAAGAGGACCCTGAACTGCCTCTTGGGAGATTCCAGCCTCAAAGCCCACCTGCCTCTTTCTTCCTGACACCCCATCTGGGAGCCCACTTGGCCTTGCCCAATCCAGCTTGTACCCCATGGAGAGGGGAGCCTGGAGGGAGCTGCGGTGGACTCCCACAGGCCCCCTTCTAAGGGAGAAAGTAGGCAGAACCCAGCCTGAGCGCCATGGAAACGCGCGTCCTCAGGAATGTTAAAGCTCCAGGCCTGGAAGATGGTGGGCAGAGGGGAGCCTGCTGCTTCGGTGATAACTTTTGCTCCCGTAAAGTACACTCTTGGTCACCCTAACCTAAGTGGGATGGATGATCCTGGGCTCCGTGCAGCAAGTGCATCGCTTCAGAATGTCGACACACCCCCACCAAAGCCCCCCTGAAAAGCCTCCCATCTCCATATGGCGCAGTGGTCAGAGTGCGGTACTGCAGGCGACTTCTGCTGACTGCCAGCTGCCTGCATTTGGCAGTTCGAATCCCACCAGGCTCAAGGTTGACTCAGCCTTCCCTCCTTCTGAGGTGGGTAAAAGGAGGAGCCAGATTGTTGGGGGCAAAATACTTAGACCGCTTAGAGAGGGGGTTGTAATAGCACTGTGTAGAAGTATATAAGCCTAAGTGCTATTGCTATATCACTCTGGGCAAAGGAGGGAGGCCTGGAATTGACTGCCATGGGTGGGATACTTACGAAATATTTGCAGATCAAAGGGCTCATCCACCTTTTCTGCACCTGGTGGAATAATTCCTGCTGTGAATCTGCCAGCATCCTCTTTCTTGAGATGGCTGAGATGTAATTCTCTGCAGTCCTTGGAGGAGTTCACTCGCTTTCGATAGGCTGAGTCGGGGACCAGGAGGCCACAGGGATCCTTAAAGGTCCCCACAGCAATAATTTCAGACTTATTGCCGGCAACTTTAGTCCAGGAAATTGAATCAAATGGTGAAGAGAACTTCACTCGGAACGTGACAGACTGTCCCAGAATGCCATTCACTTGTGTTTCAATGTCTTCTGTAAAAATCAAAGAAAAGAGAAAGGAAGCCTTCAAAATTGGGCCACAAGAGACCTTATTTAAGGTCCAGACTCTCTCCCCATCAAAGGATAAGAATGAACTTTGGAAAACTGGGTATTTCAAAAGAAATTCTTTACTGAAAAGGAAAAAGATCCAGGCGATGTTCAAAGCAGGGTCTGATATCCCTCCAGGCATGCAGCTTAGATAAAGGGAGTTAGAAACACCCCCACTTTGTCCGGTGTGGATTTTGTCAATACAAAGAAGCAACGTGTTAATTCCTCCCACCCCCTATTATTTTTTCTGGGAACGTAGTTGAGAAGAGATTCCTGGGAAGTTTCTTTCGAAGCTGGAATTTTTATGGCCCCTTCTCCTCTTGCTGTCTCTCCAAGAGGTGACAAGTTTCCAGGCCTCTGGGCTCCAGTCCCCAGTTGTATATCATGTGCAAGTTATACAGATTCAATACAAGAATTAAGATATTCAGGTTATATCAAAAGGGATTACTTGTATCAACACCCCCCTTATTCTTCCATTGAAGAATGGCAGATCCACGGATCTGTCATACTGCCTTCCTCAAAAAAATTGAGAAATCCATCTGGAAACATAAAACATATATTACATTTACAACTTAAGATGGTTTGTGAGGGCATTTCAGGTGGAACTTCCCTAGTAATGGTGAGGCTTTTACACGTCGTTTGGCTACCCATACATTTTCTGAGGAGGGAAGGTGTTTCCATGCTACTAAATATTGTGTGGATCCACGGTGAGTGTGCGGATATGTTTAATTTCAAAATGTTGTTCCCCGTGTACCATAATGGGAGTTGGAGGTGTGGGAAGGCGTGGTCTAAGGTTTGAAGTGATCTCTGGTTTGAGTAGGCTGCAGTGAAATACTGGATGAACCTGTTATATACGAAAGCAAGACCGACGTCAGTGTTCCAGGGAACATCCATTCCTGTCAGTAACTCCAAGACAAGTATAATCTCAAAGTACTTTTATTAGAAGAGCACCTGGCACATCTGTGGAATTCCGAAATTAAAAGTTTTCCATCATCCCCACAATGTTTGTCCCGGGTTTGTACTAACCTACAAACCATCTCCTTTTTACTCATCATCCCATCGCACGAACCAATCCCAAAGTAAGTCCCAATTCTTTCTGCGCCCCACACTCTTTAACCTTGACCTATCAAACAAATTATATTTTGTCTACTAAGAGCTACTCAGTTAACACCCCCACTCCCACTTTCTCCAGCTATGCGGCAGTGAAGAATCATGATTCCATAGCTGAGAGTCAAAATTAAAGGGTTGCCCCAGAAGGTTCTCCAATTAACGTCCCCTTTCTTTCTTCCTCCTACCCTTTTATCTCCTCATTGTCCAGTCATATTAAAAAGAATTGTTTTGGTAATGTTCCCTGCACCCGTTCCAAGATGTTGATGAACCGACCGACGTCTAAAGAAGGAACAATGAGTAGCTTCAGTTTCCCAGTATGGCAGGCTGGCATCTAGTAGAGCAAGGCTGAATCTCTCCCTCTGATATTGTAAATATATATAAAAGTAACATATATTTTTTTATCATATATGTATTTTCCCAACAGGCTGTGGTTTTGAAACAGAAAGATAAAAGCAGAATTTATATTCCTTTGGAGAAATATTAAAATGTACAGCCTGTGCCTACAAATCAATATGATTTTACTTTGAAAAACAATAAAACAAGCATTAACATTTCACTACAACAGGAAATTAAATCCACAGTAAATGTTAGGTTATGTTTGTTTGAGATCTTGGAGGCAATGAAGATTTTGTACTATCTTCCTATTAATGGAAAAATTATCTGCGACTTTTGACATTTTTCTTTACATGGTCTGGACCTGCATTATTGTTACATTTTGGTCCGAATTTGGGGTTTTGGTCGTGTTAATTTAGACTCTGCTGTTGAGTAAACATAATGCATCCATATGAAAAATAGGTAATGGTGTCATCTTTATGTTTGGTTTGTAAAGAAAAAAATGAGGAATTATCGCCTATCTCTTCTGATAGAGTTTGTAGTTTTGATCTTATCTGCCTTTTTCTTAACGTTTTTCTCCAATGCAGCAGTTTTGAATGGGATCCAAGTCCCTCCAGAGTTTTATATCTTTTCCTGTAATGATCCAAGCTGGACTCAAGGAAACAAACTGCGTTTTGAGCCCCAAATTTCAGTCCTGTTTTGAAACTAAACCTAGAAATACAGTAAAACAGACAGAACTTACCAGCTCCTAAGAGAACGAGTGAAAACCACACGCTGAGTAGGTTCTTGAAGGACATGTTGGTGGCTGGTGTTTTAACAAGAACTGCAGACAAATCTAGACAAACTTCTGCAAAATATACAAGGACCACCTGTTATCGTGCGATTTTGAATATCGGAAAAGCTGCAGTCATGTCAGCTGCTTTAAGTTCTTCAAGCTCTTGGGGAGTTCTTTTTTTCCTCTTTTTCTCTGCAGTCCGCAGCTGATTTTTCTCACAGAGAGGGGGACCTCAGAGGCTTTCGTCCTCCCGCCAGCTGATACGCTGCTTCCTGAAGAGGGAGTCAGCTGTGTCAGCACTGATTTTGGTTCCTTCTCCAGCACGTGAAGGTTTCGCACACTTAAAGAAATAAATGCACATTTTTTTTATTCTCCTGGATTGTTGGTTGCAGCCCAAGCGCTTTCCAAATCCCATCCTTGTCCTGCGCGAATAATTGTGGGGAGTTCTTCCTTCTCCAAGTCTTTGTCTGTCCCAACTGAATGTCAGCTTCGTCTTTGGTCTCAAGGCCTCTTTGAAGGAGAGGAAAACTTACCAGCACAAACTTGCTTTAAGGTGAATGTCCTGCACGTCATTTTCTGCTGTACGGGTGACTTCCTGATCAAGGTCTTGGGAGGTGAGCTCCATCACTGAACTCCCGAGAGTGGGAAACGTGTTCTTGACATCTGAGGTCCGGCCGGAAGGTCCGAGGCCCATCTGGGAAGAAGAAGTGGAATTCAGTTGGACCTCAGATGTCAAGAACACGTCTCCCATCCTCGGGACGGAGCTTCACGCTCTCACCCTCCAGTCCCCCTCCTCAGCTTTCCGCCTCTGCTGGTCCTCACCTGGCCATTCTCCCTGGCTCAAATAATAGATTAGAATGCTTTATTGGCCAAGGGTCATTGGACACACAATGAATGTGTCCGTGCAAAGGCTCTCAAGTGTACATAAAAGATACATTCGTCAAGAGTCAAGAATCATCAGGTACAACACTTAATGATAGTCATAGGGTACAATAAGCCATCAAATCATACTAGGAAACAGTCCATATTAAATCGTAAGGATAGAAGTGACCAAGTTACAGTCACAAGTGGGAGGGGATGGGTGATAAGGAGTGATAAGATTAATAGGAATACGAGCGCAGACTTTGTAAATAGTTGAGCAGCGTTGAGGGAATTATTTGTTTAGCAGAGTGATGGCATTCGGGGAAAAACTCCCCTTGTGTCTAGTTGTTCTGGTGTGCAGTGTCTATAGTGTCGTTTTGGGGGTCGGAGTTGAAACAGGCATCCAACCCTCCACCCCACACCCTCAGGCCAGGCCCATTAACCAAGATGCCGTTTGTCCTGGGCCTTTGGCTGAATGGGACAGTTAGCTGCCAGCAAATCAGGTAGCAGACAGAAGCCATGGTGTTGCTTGGGCAGTCTGGAGAGGATTTGGACAAGGGCCCTGCGTCCGACGCAGGGATGGGGCCAGGACCGTCTGGGAGTGGGGTGCTGCCTTCGGAGCCATTGGAGTCCGGAGCAGCAGAGGACCCCAGGGAGCCTTCCCAGGTCGCTGCTAGAAGGCAAGGGCAGCTGAACAGAAAGTGTGACTCAGGAGTAAAGCTGGGAGATGATTGCCCCTCCCATCAGGGATAAAAGTCAGTCCTCAGTGATGAAGAGCTTTGCAGGAAGCAAAGCAGTTCAGTAACCTCCGAGTCCGTCTTGAAGCTCTGTTCTCTGGTCGGGTTTTGCTGGGTTTTGGGGTTGGTTGGTGTTAGCCTTAATTGGGCTTCTCTTTCCTGGCAGCATTCGACTGCACGGAAAAACGTGCTCTTATCTGGAGGAACTGTGTCTAACGAGTTTTGGCTGGGAATGCAAGTAATTCCATCGTCACATTAAAAAAGGTTTTACTTTTAAATTCAGTTTGTGTTTCATTAAGTTTGATGAAGCCTGGGTCAGAACACTCTGCCCTCCTGTGTTGATGTTGAATTAGAAGCTAGGTGGTTTTCGTTAGAAGCTAAGTGGGGATGTTGTGGTAGTAGATCCCTAAGTTGGACTAGAACTAATCTTGAGAACCTTCCAACTGTGGAAACCTGAGATTTGTCAAGCGGCTCAGGGATGGGCTCCGGGTCAACGACGGGATTATTATGTGTAGCAACCAAGGCCGTGAACACCTCCAGCTTCGTTCTGATTTTCACTAAGACGTTTCTTCACGTCTACTTCCTCAGTGCATTTCCACAGAATTCAGTTGAAAACCCTTCCAGTTGTTTGGTCAAACTCAATTATGCCAGTTCTCATGAGAACTGCTCAGCAGTCAATCACCCGTAAAGAGAAGCCCACCAACCCTGTTGATATAATCACCCTCCCTCCCTCCCTCCCCCCCCCCCCCCCTCCCTCCCTGTTCCTGTTCTTCCATGCCTGTTTATTTCACCAGGTTCAAAGTATGTTAGTAACTATTTTTCTTAATCCCATTAACGCACATTAAAACTGTTACTACTAGTAGTAGTAGAAGAAGAAAAAGGAAGCAAAGATAGTTCCAATACTGATGGGCACCTTCTTAAACACCCTCGGTATTGACAAAATCCCCATCAATCAATTGCAAAAAGTATTTGACTTGACTTGGAGTAGCATCCTCCGATGAGAACTTTAGCAGGAACAAAGAACAACAGGTGCCTTCTCCAGGTCCCTGGGAAGGACTCAAGAGATGGACAAAATGCCAAATCCTCTGGCTGACCATCTGACCAACCATATTAAGGTTCTGGCAGTTTTCTTCGGTTGTAACATCCATCTTCCCCACCCACCTGTTTTCCCCTCTACTTGCTTGTCATCAACTTCTGGAGGCAAGCAGTTCCACTGGTCCATTGTTCTTACTATCATGACATTTCTCCTTAGTTGACTAGGTTTGTCCCAAAGGTGCTTTTTCAAGAGGCAACTGGACTTTCTGTTTTTTTTTTCTTTGAAGATGTTTCGCTTCTCATCCAAGAAGCTTCTTCAGAGCTGAAAAAGCGTCTTGGATGAAAAGCAAAACGTCTTCAAAGAAAAAAAACAGAAAGTCCAGTTGCCTCTTGAAAAAGCATCTTTGGGACAACCAGGACCTGGAGGATGGAGAGTCTCCGTAGAGATTTTAGTTCCAGGTTGCTTCTCTCCTTGATTAGTTTCCATCCGTTGCTTCTTGTCCTGCCTTCTGGTGCTTTGGGGAACAGGTGGAACCCCCCCTTCTCTGTGGCAGCCCCTCAAATATTGGAAGACTGCTACCGTGTCACCCCTGGTCCTTTTTTCCCCTAGTCTAGGCCTATCTGGCTCCCTCAACAGTTCATCATGTGATTCCTACTCTGTCTTAAAATGCACGATTTTATCTTTTCACAATCTTTTCTTTCCTCCCTCTTGTGGTTACTGTTGAAATAATACTTAAATGTTAGTGTTTTGCACCCTCTTATGGTCAATGTTGAAATAAACTTTAAATGTAGCACGTTGAAGGCAAATCGGTTAGCAGTATTTCTAATTATCAGAACTGCCTCAAACTTGGGGTTCTAAAGTAAAAATGATCCTCAACTGGAGCCAGTGTGGCACAGTGGTCAGAGTGCAGAACGGAAGGCTACTTCTGCTGACTGCCAGCTGACTGAAATTTGACAGATCGAATCTCACCAGGGTCCAGGTTGACTCAGCCTTCCGTCCTTCTGAGGTGGGTAAAATGAGGACCCAGATTGTTGGGGGTCAAGAGGCTGACTCTGTAAACTGGTTAAGAGAGGGCTGTGAAGCACTGTAAAGTAGTATATAAGTCTAAGTACTAATGCTATTAACTCCTTTGGTGAGAAAGGTACAGTTTACTAGAAGTCAAGTGAATTACAAGAGTGCCTCTCTCTTATTGGTCAAATCCAGACAAGCCAAACCAGACAACACAAACATTTCCAATCCACAACAGATTCCACAATCCACATTCACAGTGACCTTCAGTCAGGTGATCACCATTGCAGTCTTAAATCGGCTAAACGTTGGAAATGCCACCAGACACCTGGATCATATTATCATATGTGGTGGACATCTCTTTAATCAACCTGTCCTGTTCCTGACCCTTTCTATTTTCTCCTCCCCTCCCTGGTCAGTCTCCACTGAATCCTAGGAATTTCTTCGTTCCTAACACTGACCATCCTGAAGTATAAGTTCAGTTGGAGCAACATTGTCAGATTCAAGGTTAGAGCCAGTAGTTTGGAGTAGTTTGGAGAAACGCCCAATCCCACCTCCGACTGGCCCCGCCAACCCCATCTCTTCTCTGCCTCCCATTGAGTCCCAGATGATCGGCTGGGTCTCCTTTGGTTGCCCTGCACAGGAGAACGGAGCTGGAAAGCAGGTCAGTGGGGTGGGGAGGGAAGGGGGATTTTGCAGTATATCCTTCCCCTGCCAGGCCCACCGAGCCACACCCACAGGACCAGTAGTAAAAAAAAATTGAATCCCACCACTGATCCAGATCATGGTTGTCCTAAAAGGTGCTTCTTCAAGAAACAACTGCACTTTCTTGGGCTTTTTTTTGAAGATGCTTCACTTCTCACCCAAGAAGCTTCTTCAGTTCTGAAGACATGTCTTGGATGAGAAGTGAAACATCTTCAAGAAAAAACAAAGAAAATCCACTTGTCTTTTGGAGAGGAAAAAAAAAAGGCACTTTGGGGACAACAGCTCCAATCCAGATATTCCATCTGGGAAGTTTTGTACCAGCCTTCCAAGGTGGCACTGCCGGAGGGAGGCAGTGCCAGCCCGTCCTAAACAGGAGGTTCAGCCGTGACAAGATTGGCCTGCAAAAGACATTCAACTTTCCAAAGAAGCTAAAACTCCCAGGAGCAAATTTGGGGCAGGGAAGCTGAACCTTTCCTCTCCCTCCAGGTAAGTGATTTGCATACGATGCAGACTGAGTCACCTGATTGTGAGGTCTCAGCCAGAGAGGTGAGGGGGGCAGTGGGAGCCACCAGTGGCCGGGGACCAGGTCTTTTGTCTTGTTTGAAGCCAAGCAGGGAAGTGTCTGGCATGCAACATAAGGATGCTTTCTGGGTGACACTCCTACTTGTTTACTTCCAAGCCGGTAACTTCTGCTACGGTTTTTGTTTGACAGGCAGCTGGGGGGTGGGGGCAGGAGCTTGGCCCATTTACAC